TAATGAATAAGTATTTTCAAGATCATACCCATAATGAATAAGTATTTACAGATCATACCCATAATGGTTTGCAAAGTGGTTGGAATTATTTTGATATAGTTTAGATTGGATAAATTATTTTGGATATGAATTTTATGGAATTAGTAGGTCGTATTCTGTGTGTGTTTTTTTCATCTAGTTTATTGTTGTTAATATTATCTTTTTTTGCAGTCGTATGTTTTGTATGCCTTTCTCTTAGCATTGTCGCTGAAATAATAAGGATATTGAAGGTTTTTGAAAGTGTTTTATATCTATATTTCTTCTTTGGGTAGGTTTTGGGGTCTGCAGATACCTAATGTCCTTAAATAAAATTCTATCCTTATTCCAGACTTGATCTTGTTACAGTGGTGGGAATAAAAATTGACCAGGTCATTCTTGTTGGTATCTTTTCTGTAAACCTCAAACTGAAGTTTGTTATTATTTATGTGCAACATGATACCTAGGAAAAGTTTAAAGAGTTTTAAACTTGGACATTAGATGTTTGTCTTGAAAGACAACTGGATGGAACTTATACAAATCTACATAGAGAAATCCAGAACATCAGTGGGAGATTCCATGTAACGCTTAACACAATTTACAGAAGACTGAGACCAATCTCTCTTAAGATTAAACAAAAACGATTACAGTTTGATGGCCACTGCCACCAAGCAAACAAGGAAATCATCTCATTCTTACTCCTATGGTTATCCTTCTGGAAGTGTCTTCTCACGAAAATTAACTTTCCCAGACACCATAGGTCGGGACTCAGGTTAGGACACTGGGATAGAAATGCAGGATCAAACAGTGTGGAAAGGGATTGTCAATAGAGTTCCGACCAACCATAGGGAGGATGAAAGATTGATCAGGATGAAAGTGTTGTTAGTCAAATTATAAAGGACACAAAGTCTGACTTCTCAGCTAACCTGATAAATATTTTGAAAAACTAATAACATTTTTCCTCTTGTATATAAATACTTGTCACAAAATAAAATCCTTACATTTGCCTTGATAAAGGCTATCAGAAGACGAAATGCATTTTTCTTTTGTCTTTATTCATATTGCCCTTTTACAGATATACTCTATCTGAAATTATATATATATATATATATATATATATATATATATATAAAAAAGAAGAGAAGAGAGGTGCCTGAAGACGGTCGCGAGACCAGAAACACGTGTCGTAAAATTATGCAAAACAAAGCATAATATTTTTTTCTAAATAAATCCACATTACAACCAAAAACGTTTGCGGCACCTCTTTCCTCTTCTTTTTAATATACATACTTTTTCTCGTTGGAACTACTACAACATATTTCTTATATAAGTGAACATAGAAGTCAACACTAAGACAAACTTTTGTAACTATGATAAAATCCATTGTGATGGTTATTTTTGAAAACATGTGAAATTCCAGAACTACAACAGATAGATTAAAAAATTTAAAATAACAGCGTATGTTCACGTATTATAAAAAAAAAAAAAAAAAAAATCACCATCACAACGAAATGCAGATTTTATTGCAGTTACAACAGGTTTGTCTTTGTAATTTGCCCCTGAAGATGTTCTTGGAAAAGATCGAAAGTACTTGGATTAGAAAAACTATGGCAGCTTTCTTGATGAATTTCATCTTAACATCAAGAAACTGATAAGAGAACTGGTACGGACCAGTATAAACGTATGTAGACACAATATGTCCATATTATTCAATGAAACATTTTATATATATATATATAGTAACCCTTAGCTTTTGGAAAGGGGCTTCTGAGTTGATTTAAAGTTCTGCATAAAATTTTATAAATTATATAAAACTCCAGGTACTTGCTCTAACCATTGAGCATTTTAATTCAAAAAAAAATCTTATAAACAAATAAGGAAAATAATCCATATGTATTACTATCTAATACCGTATCCATCCCATAATAGTTGCTATGTTTCATGCTACAACTATCCCATAATAGTTATATTTATTGCATGATATATATATATATATATATATATATATATATATATATATATATATATATATATATATATGAACTAGCTAGCGATAAATATGTTATTGTCTTATACTACCATTAAACCTTAATAGCTATATTTATTGCTGCAAGGTAATTTAGAAAAAGAACTATCCGTCTGTTTGAGTCACGGCAAAAAGAGAAAACAGTCATCGTTTGGAAATATATAATAGAAAGATAGCTTTTAAAAATCTTTTTTTATTAAGCAACTGATTAAAAACTAAATGAAAAATTCAGCTAAGTAAAATTAGTCCATGTCTACATTATAAAGAAATACTTAAATACTGAAACTGTATTTTATTTTCTTACATTTTATTGCTATTTACTTTACTAAAAATAAAGTTTTTATACAGTTTAACTTTTTTTTAAAATACTAATTTCTCAAAGTAGACCTATTTTGGATGTTTTCATGACTATCATATTTTCATTCAAGTTTTTAAATATGTATTGCTGAATTTTGTCAGGTAATATGTAAAATAATCGTTTTCTTTTTTATAACCATTTTACAATATTTATTAATAAAAGTGCCTTTCAATAATTTTCTAAATAACCTCAAGAGCACTGTCAAAAACATTTTGTGATATAGTATTAGGTTAAAAACAACTGTGACGGCATTAAAACAATCCAAAAATTAAAAAAAAAAAAAATTAAATAAATAATATATGCTCATGTCACAAATTAGTTGGTGTAAATAAAGAATTTATTTATATATATATATATATATATATATATATATATATATATATATATTAATGTACATCTATTTGGTGTTAGTTATGATGAAGATGATCTAAAGAAGTTGAAAGCAGAAAAGAATTTAGTGTACAACTAAGAAATGAGCCAAGCTTTACATATTAGTAAAAGTATTTTATTGTTTTCATAGAAAGTTTTCAAGTAAGAAGTTTTACTGTTCTTACCACTACATGAAGGTCAAGGTTCAAAGGTTATCAGACAGTAAAAAGTCATTTAAAATTTTAACATTCATTTTCTAACCATGAAAGGATTTGAAAGAGAGAGAGAAAAAAAACAAAAACAAACAACTAGATCTAATGCAATTATAATGTTGAAAGTTGAAAATGGGTAGGAAAACACTATTAACATGACAAAAGTCATGGAACAGGTGTCTAGTATCATGTAGGAACCAGTCAATCTGAACAAAATGCAACACGGTATTCCACAATTGATCGGAAGACCTCTAGTGAGATGTTGAAGCATACTGTCTACAACACTGATATCAATGACTGAAGCATGTTTTTTTATACAAATAGACATCTCAAGCTTATCTTATAAATAATCAATTCAGCTCATGCTTTGTAAATGTGATGGTCATGCCACCTGGCAAAGTTTGCAGAATACTAATACCAATTCTAAGTAACTTGGGCGCAATGGTACAGTGCATTATCCCACTGGAATAATCCATTCTTGTTGTGGAGGGGGTAGAGTCCATGATCATGAATGTAATGCTAATGGTACCTGGTCAATGATGTGATTACACAGACCAGACTAATCCCATGTGAACACACACCACACCATTATAGAATCACCACTCGTCTGCATAGAGCTTTGTTGTACAATCAGATCAATTCTCCCCCACAAACCAGACCTTGCCACACATTCTCATGTCCTCCAGTGTTCAATTAACAATGTCACACAACCCAGTGAGATGCCCAGGAGTGAAGGTAGTTAAAATAATAGCCATGTCAGGGGGGGGGGACATCCCTTTGACACACCTTTTCTTCTATTTCTTTTTTTTTTTTTTTTTTGCAGGCACACAAGTTAAACATTTCCCCCTAGGCATTTGAACAAGGGTAGCTTACCTGTTACTTTATACAATTTCTCGTCTTTGCTCACAATCATTAAGACTCCTTAGCATTGAACCCACCCAAATCTGTACCTTCAATATCAACTCCCAATGTTCAACTCACCACTGAACTGTGGTGGTAGCATCTGTTAGGGTCCAACCTATGGGCAAACAGTGAAACCCCCTCCCCAAACAAAAACAACACTTATGAAAGTATAAAAATACATTTTTATAGTAAAAATACCAGTAATACATTTTTATATAAAAAAAAAAAAATTACCAATAATACATATTATCTGTAGTTGGAGTCATAAAATTGTGTTAAAAATATTAACATTTTGGCATTAAATAACCCATAGAGGTTGATATGCCGCCAAACGACACCAACAACCAAAGAACTATTTCATGTCATTAATCCATATAATATCTTACAATTTCTTAAAGAAATCAAACTGTATTCCAAAATATAACTTCAACTACAACATAAACCACACACACATCACCACCTCTATTAAAATAAATTAGAAAAATGCTGCTAGAAATTATGAAAATATGCCCTTTCACAATCTGATAATAAAAAAAAAAAAAAAAAAAAATGAACCTTGACCTTTTTTTTTTTTTTTGATTAAAAAAAGTTGCTAATCATTATTAAACTGCTACTAAGAGTTGGGAAGATGAAAGGTGATGCCTTGGAAGGTTTTGTCAGATTCATTTAACATGCAACAACAAAGCACAGTAAAATCAAAATAATAATAAAAAAAAAAAAAAAACTGGATTTAGAAAGAAAAAAAAAAGCATTAACAACAAAATAACAAGCTTAAAAAAAACAACAATAAAAGACACACACAACAAAAATTAAAGATGCAAATGAATTAGAAATTAATCAAACTAATTTAGAAGTTATTAAAAATTTTAATATACAAGCATTTTCACTGCCCATCCCTAGTTAATGAACAGATCCATCCACTGTGTTTACATCATCTTTCATTTGTCTAACAATGATTCAGGAATTTGTAGCCTTATTTTCTCATCAAATTAAAACTGCTAGAGTTTATATACCTATGAGTATCACTTTCATAAGACATGAATGAAAATGAATATCATCATCATCATCATCATAAATAAGGCGGCAATCAAAAAATGGTTTACCTTTCCATGATCAGTCAGTAGCTAATAATTGTTAAATTAAAATTTTGTGTTCTAAAAGTGCTTAAAGAGGAAAAAAGGAAAAAAAAGTTGGGGGGGGGAAGGGGAGAAAGGTGGGGGGGAAAAGGAGAGGGAGAAAGGTGGGGGGAAAAGAGAGGAGAAAGGTGGGGGGAAAAGAGAGGGAGAAAGGTGGGGGGAAAAGGAGAGGGAGAAAGGTGGGGGAAGGAGAGGGAAAAGGTGGGGGAAAAAGGAGGGGAAAAGGTGGGGGGGGAGGAGAGGGAGAAAGGTGGGGGGGAAGGAGAGGGAGAAAGGTGGGGGAAGGAGAGGGAGAAAGGTGGGGGGGAAAAGGAGAGGGAGAAAGGTGGGGAAAAGGAGAGGGAGAAAGGTGGGGGAAAAGGAGGGGGAGAAAGGTGGGGAAGGAGAGGGAGAAAGGGGGGGAAAAGGAGAGGGAGAAAGGTGGGGGGGGGGAAAGGAGAGGGAGAAAGGTGGGGGAAGGAGAGGGAGAAAGGTGGGGGGAAGGAGGGGAGAAAGGTGGGGGGGGAGGAGGGGGAGAAAGGTGGGGGAAGGAGAGGGAGAAAGGTGGGGGAAGGAGAGGGAGAAAGGTGGGGGAAGGAGAGGGAGAAAGGTGGGGGAAGGAGGGAGAAAGGTGGGGAAGGAGAAAAAGGTGGGGAAGGAGAGGGAGAAAAGGAAAAAAAGAAAAAAAGGAGAAAAAGGGAGAAAAAGGGAGAGGAAAAAGGAGAAAAATGGAAAAAAAGGAAAAAAAGGAAAATGAAGAAAAAGAAAAGAGAAAACAAAAAAAAAAAAATTGAAATATAAATTTTCATTTTAACACCTGTCCTTAATCCGCTTTAGAAACACAATTATCTTTGAGGGATTTCACAATATCCATGTTTCACTTATACATATATCTGTGCAGAAAGGAGGAGCAGAGTTACTTGTTTTCATGTATCATGCCAGATATTTTGTATAGATCATTTATGTTAGGTAACTCTACCACTGCTACTGGCACCATTTAACCCAGTACTACCCGCCACATGGTCAAGTCATCAGCAACTAAACCAGCTGCCCCCACGAGGCTTTTGTGTGGGCAGACACTCAGCATGATTAAGACCTGTCAAAGAGCAGAGGAACAATCATCTAGCACAATGCGGTAGACTAGGCTAAATAGCTATGGATGAAACCAGTGCAGTGATGCAACCTCTCTGGACAGAAGGCATATCCTAGACTGAAGTCAGAATGATCTCCACAACAAAAATGCCTAAAAGTGTTTGACCTTGGAGAGGGATGGTCTCCGCCAGGTCTTGTTGCTCAAGAGACACTACATGCAAATGAATACCTCTCCGGCTTTCAACTTAGCTATTTGGAGGGAACTGTTTAGGTATTCAACTGCAAAGCCACCCAATGACCACACCCGGTCATGTGACTGATGATGTTAATATGATGACCTTCTAGAAACAATTCCTTTAGGAACACATGTGAAACCATTCCAGAACCATGACCAATATTCTTATTAAGTGAAATGAACATCTCAGTCAGATCCAAAGTTCTGGGGATGTTTGATAAAAGAGAAATGGTCAGATTCAAACTTAGTCTGAGAGCAGAACTATTGGTCCACTTCAGGAACTTAATATTTTTTTTATTATGCAAGGGAAAAAAGACTCAATATATCTATTCACATAGAAGTAGATCATGGCAATTTATTCGGATATCTATTCTGTAAATGATAAGTTTTCATCTAATTTTTAAGGAAGATTACATTGTCTACCAATCCCACATTACCTAATGAGGGAGAAAAAAAAAAAAAAAAATTGGCATGCATTACTTTTTTGTTTTTATCATTTAAACATACTAATGCAACCATCTTATTTCTTAAAAAAAATTAACACAATATGAATTTAAAAAAAAAAAAACCTCATGCAGAAAACCACACCCTACCCACCCCCCAGTTATATATATAAAAAAAAAAAAAAAAAAAAAAAAAAAAGGCCTTGAACAAGTTTCCCCATAAAATGAGACTGTATTAAAGCGACACACATACATAAACGCACACACAATCCATACAAGCGAAGTCCAGCAATGCAAGAACAGAAATAAATATCAACGGAGGAGAATGAAAATTCTTCATATTTAACACCAACATCATTACTTGGTTTTCATCACAACATTTATTCACAGCAATATGCACAGTTTATTTTGACGTTCCATTTGTTTTTACGTCTTTTACGTACTTTCGATTGAACAATGTCAAGTTAAACGATGGATTTTTGTGCAGAGAAATAGACACTGTTTAAGAACTCGTTGCAATAATCCAAAGAATCACTGAAATAATTTTATCTCTTAGTTGCATCATTTTCATAGCATCTACTTAGGTAGTACGGGCTAGAAAACTACAGAATGAACTTTGGGCTTGACTACCATTTACCTTTAATGAAATGGTTGACTAAATGGATCTATGAGAAAATCTCCTTCTTTGAAATAACAGATCTCAGAAGGGCAAAGGTAATCTGATAAAAGATTGTAAGAAAAAAATAAAAATGGTGGAGTTGTATAATCAACACTACAACCAGAGATAATCATTTTTTGTCAAATTACTATAGTTTTAAAACTACAATATATCTGAAGGAAAAAAAAAAAAGATTGTATTAAATTTTATGAAAGTTAATTGGTTGGGTGGGGGGGGCAGCTTGCTATCTAAATTCATTGTAAATTGACCCCCTCTTGCCCACAGAAATAAACACTTATAGCTCACATGACATGTTTTCTTTCAAAACAATTTTTCACATTATAACATATTTGGCTCCCAAGGCCTCATTCCTTTGTTGTCCCATGATTCCAACATTATATCTTAAATAATTTTGGTACAAGTGACTTAATGTTTTAAAATTGTTACTTTTGAATCTCCTGCAACTCTTCCAGATGGTCTCCTTGCTTAAGTTGGTGAATGCTGCCATAATCATTGCCTTCAGTGGAGTTTTGTTGACCCCTCACTCAACTGTGCCCCACACCTAAGAATCAAGGAGTTGCAGTCTGGGAAGTTAGGTGGCCAGATATAAGGAGTGATATGGTTGCAGAAATTGTCTGAGTCATGACTGGATTCTCCTGCTTGTGTGGCATGGTGCAGAGTCCTGTTGCCAGATATAGGGTCTTCCAGAAGCCAACCTCTTGACCCAGGGCAGCACTACTTAATGTTTTTCTTATCAGAACTATCAGAGGGAGTTCTTTTCTTATCAGAACTATCAGAGGGAGTTCTTTTCTTATCAGAACTATCAGAGGGAGTTCTTTTCTTATCAGAACTATCAGAGGAGTTCTTTTCTTATCAGAACTATCAGAGGGAGTTCTTTTCTTATCAGAACTATCAGAGGGAGTTCTTTTCTTATCAGAACTATCAGAGGGAGTTCTTTTCTTATCAGAACTATCAGAGGGAGTTCTTTTCTTCAGAACTATCAGAACTATCAGAGGGAGTTCTTTTCTTATCAGAACTATCAGAGGGAGTTCTTTTCTTATCAGAACTATCAGAGGGAGTTCTTTTCTTATCAGAACTATCAGAGGGAGTTCTTTTCTTATCAGAACTATCAGAGGGAGTTCTTTTCTTATCAGAACTATCAGAGGGACTTTTCTTATCAGAACTATCAGAGGGAGTTCTTTTCTTATCAGAACTATCAGAACTATCAGGGGAGTTCTTTTCTTATCAGAACTATCAGAGGGAGTTCTTTTCTTATCAGAACTATCAGAGGAGTTCTTTTCTTATCAGAACTATCAGAGGAGTTCTTTTCTTATCAGAACTATCAGAGGAGTTCTTTTCTTATCAGAACTATCAGAGGAGTTCTTTTCTTATCAGAACTATCAGAGGGAGTTCTTTTCTTATCAGAACTATCAGAGGGTTTTCTTTTCTTATCAGAACTATCAGAGGGAGTTTTTTCTTATCAGAACTATCAGAGGGAGTTTTTTCTTATCAGAACTATCAGAGGGAGTTCTTTTCTTATCAGAACTATCAGAGGGAATCAGAACTATCAGAGGGTTCTTTTCTTATCAGAACTATCAGAGGGAGTTCTTTTCTTATCAGAACTATCAGAGGGAGTTCTTTTCTTATCAGAACTATCAGAGGGTTCTTTTCTTATCAGAACTATCAGAGGGAGTTCTTTTCTTATCAGAACTATCAGAGGAGTTCTTTTCTTATCAGAACTATCAGAGGGAGTTCTTTTCTTATCAGAACTATCAGAGGGAGTTCTTTTCTTATCAGAACTATCAGAGGGAGTTCTTTTCTTATCAGAACTATCAGAGGGAGTTTCCAAGTTTGCATACCTTCGTAATCACCATTAGACCCCTCCAACTCTTTCTAAATCCTCTGCACTATCCTCAGATTCACACTGAAATTTTCATATTGGATCTTCTGGCGCAAATGCCAAGCAGTACAGCATACCATTTCCAAATTCCTGGTGGAGTGAATTGTGTTGTGGTGCTTTTTTTTTTTCTCATAGATGGTACCCAACTGACCCTACTACACTGTACAGTCAACAAAATCAAAAACAATGTGCATGTGCCACATTAAAAATATAAAATGACAACATCACAACTTTTATATATATATATATATATATATATATACAAGGAATTAATGGATTTGTTTTTAATCCAATATTTTTATTACGTCAAATGTTATTATAGTGGGGACTTCATATTTAAAATAGACGTGTCGTTTCTATTTCTTAAACCATGTGCATTATGTCTACCTACCTGTGTTTTCAAGATAGTATAGAAATGTGTTTCCAGCATCCCCCATTATAGATGAAACCACTGTCTGATCCAGTGTGCTTTAGTAAAGTAGACTGGATCAAACAGTGGTTACCCCCTTACAAAGGGTGCACACAGGTTGAATCCCTACAGGAGAATGCATTTTCTTTACTAAGATTTCTTGAATGTGCAGATTCACAGAGTAATACATAGTTTAATAAATAAATTTAATAAATATATACATTTAATAAATAAATAAAAGTGTCTATTTAAACACAAAGTAGACATTACAATAATGTTTGATGTAATGAAAAAAAATGGTGAGGGAAGGTGTAACTTTATATCTGTGTAAATGTGTAAGTTACTAAATAAAATCTCCACATTTATGTTGATAAAGTTCTTGACGGGGATGAAACTGTGTTGGTAAAGAAAATTTTTCCTTTTGTCTATATATCAATTATTTTTTTTTTAAATATGACTCCATTGCTACATAAGAGTTCTCATGTTTCAAAAACAGAAGCTAAAAAACTTCAATTTAATTATTGAAATTAAATTAAATTAAAGTACCTAGTTCTGTTTCATCCTCAAGTAAATTTTGGAATAACAAATTTTGAAAATTATGGAGCTTTATAAGCATATACTTTTGTAATATTAATTTATATGGATATGATGAAAACTAATCATTTTAATAAGGGCCGATATATATATATTTGAAAACTAATAAAAAAACACAAAATAAATATGGAAAAAACTCCTTGAAAATGCCTTACAATAGCACAAAATATGCCTAAAAGATGACTGGCATACATTGGCTGAAATGTTGTGATGGAAACAATAAAAATAATGATATTGGTACTAAACAAAATCAATAGCTTTATCGAATATTGGCAAATACTAATAAGGAAAAAAGAAAAAAACAAAAAAGACAAGACAAGATAGAAAGTTGTTTCTTTTTCTCTGACTTACTTTCATTTTATGTTCAGCTATCACTCGCCGGATGCCACTGACAAATGCTGCTTGATCATTGGGCAATAAACCAATAAAAGCCTTTTTCTTTTTGCTGAAGATGAGCATCACAACTCTGAGTTCACACTGGTGCAAACCTGGGATATGCACACAGCCAGCCTGCTAACAAAGAAAAGCAAATGAAAGACGAAAACAAAAAAGGTACAAAGAAGACATTTTTAGGGCATGTCTTTTTTTTTTTTTTTTTTTTTCGAATAGGCTATTTTGCCAGTCCCAATAAAATAGACACCAACGCTATTTTGTTTGTAAATATAAATAGTTTTTTAGAACTAAGAATATTCATCATCACAGTGGTTGAATTAGCTGTGTAGGTAGGACTTGAACAACAGGCATTCTTTGGTCTGTGACTCTTGTCTTCAGTGGGTGCACCTCAAGTGTATTGGCAAGAGAACCATGACCATGCCCAAGGCCAAGTTTGGGATTTTCAGAGACTGTTATACCTGAAGTGCTTAAAATATCCAGAGACTTCTATATTTCTTTTAATAATTGATGATGAATAAATGATTTTAACTTCAGATCTAAAAACTGATGGTGGAAAAGATTTTAAACTGCCATAACAATTTATAATGGCAATACCCCCCACACACACTTTAGTTTCCTTTCTTTTACCATACAGTCAGTGACACTGGAGTGACAGGGTGTAATTGATTTCTATTTTTACCTAGGATTAGGTCATTTGCAGTGGTGTGCAGTAATATGAATCTATTTTTGGGGTGTATGATGAAATTTGTTTAGCCTTGAAAAATATTGCATCATCCATGATTGCATCAGATTTTCATCATGCCCAGACACTACTGTCTTTACTGTCAATTAGTTGTCCTACGGCCATTATCTGCAATGGACATTACTCCAAGGAAGTGTATGAAAACTGTAACGCTACACGAACACAGTGGCAAGCCTTACCAGTGAGCAAATCAAAGTACTATTGAGTGGCTTGGAAACTCTCCAGATTTAAATTCTATCAAGAACCTGTGGTCAATCTTCAAGGCACAACTCTGTGGAATGGACATACAAAGTACTAACATGTGCACTAAGTCATGTTTGATTGGAAAAATATGAAAAAAGTAAATTATAACAGAATTATTCTTTTTGTTCCAATTAATTTGCACAAAGGTGTAAATAAACCTCTGGGTTAAATCTCTGTGTTATTTTTAACATTACCTGCCTTCATAATAAAAATATTTATTGGTAAAATAGCCTGTGTGCCTATTTTACAAAGACCAGTTAAAATAAGGTTAAAAGCATGTTTTTCTATTTTACCAGAACCGGCAAAATAACCTCTTCCTTTTTATTTCATACACTTTCAAAGTGCTTAAATTGATTTATGAATCATTTGGTTTTTTTTAACATAACTCATTTTTCATTTACTTCATGCCCAAAAAGGAAATTTCTGTAATCAAAATAAAAAAAAAATGAGAAAAGATTGTTATAAAAATATTATTTACTGAGAAAATCACTTTTATGAGGGAGGCTGAAAAGTTCTCAGCATGACCAACATTCCACAATCTAACCTAATAACTAAACAGAATGCTTTTGTATTTATTTTTAAAATATCTACTTGCTAGACCAAGAATAGTTCATCTTGAGCTTGTATTTGAAGTCTACAAATCTATAGATAGGAAGCACACAGCAATTCTTTTTTAGCAAACACAAATTGTGCACATCAAACAGAATATAAGTAAATTGTATAACAAAATATGGCTGTATCAAAAACTCTGGGGTATCCATTCCTACTTGAAAACCTGATGGATAGTATGGGTGGCTCTAGAAGGAAGTGAAAGGAGTCATTTTTAGTACCTGACACTGAATTACTTCTTTTCAAAGTGTTCCATTACATTCAGGTCTGTATGGTTTATCTTCTGCTTTGAGCAGATCACATTCCATCTATCATTTGAATGTCTTCAAGACAATTTATATTAAATCAAAGCAAGAAAAAAATTGGCTGTTAAGACAGTGTTATCTGCTCATATATCTCCAATCTCAATTTACTATTGATACAGGTGGCTTTTATTTACTCATGTTACTCTTATTTATTCAGTGTGCACAATATCTTAATTTCCTCGATAGAGTTCTGACAAGCGAGGAGAAATAACCAATTAACTTATTCAGGATGATTTTTTATTTTATTTTCATTTTTTTTTGTTCCCAATCTTGCAATCTCAAAACATCTAATTAAAAATCTAGAATGTACATCATCCTTCCATGGGGATATCTTCTCAGTTTTGAGCGGATCATATTTCATCTATCATGTGAAAGTCCTCGAGACAATTTATGTCAAATCAAGACAAGCATCTTTATGCAAACAAAAGGATTGGCTGTTAGGACTTAGTATATCCTGTATATAGATATATATGTTATTGATACACATGTATTTTCTCCCTTACGTTTCTCTTTTTTTAGTCGGTGTACACAATATTTTACTTTCCTAGATCGAGTTCTGACACGTGAAGATTGATATCTGGTTAGCTCATTCTATAGGATTTTTTTTTTTTTTTTGTATTGCCAACAATTCTAGGGGAATTTTGTATTGGACCCTTTTTGTTATGACTGTTTTTATTGCATTAATAAAATCCTTGAGAATGAAAGAGAAAAAAATTTTGACACCCTGAATAGAATAGTAATTATATACAATTCATATCTATCCTCCAAAAGACTGACCAGGATAACTTTTAATATGGGGGGAGGGATGCTGAAATAAATAAATATACTGTTTAATAAATTAGGTCTTCAAAGGTCACATGATACGCGAGTATATGCAGTATTTTATGTACATTTAAAAAAAAAAAAAAAATTTAAATAATTCCACAGTATAAACACCAATGACTTTTATTATTAATTTTTGATTAATGTTACTTTCGTCCCATTTCTGCAAGCCTTTCAACAATCAACAATAATAATGATGGTGGTGGTGTTTCATGTCGGAAATTCAAACTCAGGAATATCATCTAATAATTTTAAGGTTGCAAAGATGACTATTTAGTTTTTCACTTTTTGCTAGAAGTGAAAAAAAAAAAAAAAAAAAAAAAAATGGTTCTAAAATTATAATACAAGGTGGTATACAAAAGCCTGAAATATCATTTGATAGAAAATATAGTGATTTCTTGGTGAAATGGTTTTAAGAGATGTGCTCAATTTAAAAAAAAAAAAAAAAAAAAAAAAAAAAAAAAAGACAGGCCGACTTGAGAGATAAAATGGTTTGGTTACTGTTTTCAAATTCATGGAATTTGTGGGTAGCAACTTGCACAATGGCTAGGAAATTTGAAAATCAAATCACTGTTTTTGCTCTTTGAATCATGACTCTCTCCAACTTCCAGTTTTTTTTTTTTTTGGTTGATTTTTTTCCTTGGAAAGAAAAATATGACTTAAATATGGTAAAAAAATAGTCAAAAACAATTTACATTGATTAATCTGTGACACTGGGATCATGTCAAATAAAAAGGGAAAAAAGAAAGGAGGAAAGAGTCCACTAACTGGATGATAATTGCAGAAATTTGCTGGGAGATGGATTGAAAAGATAAGAGAATTCAATAAAATAAAAAAAGTAATAAAAAAAATAATAATAAAAAAAGAAATAATAAAAAATAACTAAATAAAAAAATAATTAAAAAAAAAAATAATTAAAAAAAAAAAATAAATAAATAAAATCATTGAATATGACCACGTTAGTTGACAAGATAGAGTTGCCCAATAGGACATGACCAAAACTGGAAATGGAGATTTTGCAAAGAGGATAACCGAGTTGCTTATTGCTTCTGGATAAATAAATGACATTTCCACTGATCACAAGTTTCGATCTAAATAATCTACTAAGATATATACTTACAAGAGAGTTTCCAAGAATGCGGTAGAGACTCTTCATTGCTTCCACATCAGAACTGGCAAAATTGAAGGTGAGCGTCTTTGTGTTAACGAACAAATCGGAGAAATGATTCAAAATGTCTATGGGCAGCAACTGCATGATCAGCTTACTCGGCCAATTAGTGGTGTTGCTAAAAAAAAAAAAAAACAAGAGAATAGGGCAGGTTTAAATATAAAATTAAACAAACATAAAAGGCACATTTATAGTCTATCATTATTTTTTTTACTATTGTTTACCTAATGCAAGGCCTAAGAGCCATTCAAGGTAGGGGGTATGAAATGAGATTGTTGGAAGAGCATAAAGGAAGGAGGAAGAGGTGTGTATTATGAGAAAATGAAGGATAGTACTGATTGACATTAGACTTGAAGAAGCTAAGATTGTAGTGGTCAGAGAAGCATCCACCGGGGAGTCTGTTGCACAAATTGATAGTTTTAAGGAAGATGCTGTCTGAATAAAACTTCCTCCTTGCCAAAGGAATATGAAGAGAATCATAATTTGACTGGTACTTTCTGGAGCAATACAAAGAACCGACCAGTGTTCCAGCATCTTTAGTGACAGCATTAGAATTATACAATAGAACATCTTGGGTACAAATTTCATTCTTTTTTAATACTGAAGTTAGCTGAGTGCAAGGCATGAGAGTCACTCATGGTAGAGGGTTACAGTTATACAGATAAGGAAGATAGATAACGATTGACTCTTGAACTGTAGAGGTTAATATTGTAGTGTAGAGGGTTACTGTTAAAATGGTTATGATGAATGAGGAGTGTGATAGGAATGAAAGAGGAGGTGGTAGGAAGTGAAGATTAGGAGGATAAGGAGGATAGATAATGATTAACCCTTGATTTCAAAAGGTTAATATTGTAGTTTGATGCATTTAATGTACTGAAAACAGTTCATCCATTATTCAGAGTGTGCTAGTTCTTTATTCACATGCCCAATTGCATTGCATTTTAACCAAAAATAAGAAAAAAAAAATACATATTATGGCAAAATCATTTCATGAAAGCCAAGCTATTTTATCTAAGGTTAAAAAATAAAAAAAAAACGAAAATGAAATTGGTATATACAAGTACAAACATTGAAAATATTATTGACAAAAATATCAGAAAGTAGATCACATTATGGGGCAGATGTATCACATGCATTGCAGCAATAGCAGTCATCCCTCTTTAACTTGATTTTTAATTCAGAATTTTCCTTCTCCATCACTAGTTGCCACTCCAGCAAAAGACAGCCTTGTAATTTCCGCTATTGAACGTATAAGCGGACAAGCAAGGAAATCATTCATACCTTTTTTTATATTTTTATGGTGATGTTCATCTTGTACAAGGCCTAGGAGTCACGCAAGGTAGAGGGTTACAGAATAAGATTCACAGTTTATGCAGACAGGAGGGGGAAGATAATGGTTAACTCTAGACATGAACAGGTTAAGATTGTAGCGATTGGGGAAACATCCTCTTGAGAGTCTGTTCCACAAAGCAGTGGAAGGAGTTGTTCGAGTGGAACTGACCTCTCACCAATGGAATATGGATAGAATAAGGGTGGCTTACTATAATGGGCGTGGCATGGCAGGTCCTAGCCGTGAATGTTAGACCTGACAGAACCAAGGAATTTAGTTCATCTGAGAACTTTCCATGGAAGTAGCAATAGTGCAATGAGTGGTTTGTCGGAAAGAAAGGACATTTAAGGCAATCAGTCTTTGCAATAAAGTGATTGATATCATCGATAAAGCATTAATGGTATTAGTACAAATCAAATTTGTCATGTATCTGATTGATGTTAAATTCAGCATCTTGACTCTAGAATTTCGTAGACTAAATCTTTTCTAATTGTTCAACCCACTCTTCAGGAGATTTCATATATATATATATATATATATATATATAAAATTTTTTAGAAAGGATGTTTTTTTTTGACATTATTTCTTAATACTATAAGGATAATTTTAGTGAGTGCACACGTTTCATTTCCTACCCTTTTTGAAATTATTAAACACTGAAATCAATAACACAGAATCGAGATTAAGAAGATAAATTTTACCTCCGACAGGAATCATACCTGCACCTTTTTACCTGATAGATTTCCCTATCGGAGACACTTTTTTTTTTTCTTTTTTTTTTTTTAATTTTTTTAGTGGCACTCCTCAATTTAGGATAGATCTTACTAATTTCACTGTTTAATAAAAGAAATAAAACAGGGATAGCAACCCAAACACACGTACTCAGTAAAAATAATGTTTAAGAAAATATATATATATATATATATATAATCTGAAGCTGAAGGTTAGAGCTGGCAGAGCAAGGGAATAATTTATCTGAGCACTTTCCACGGAAGTAGCAATAGAGCAGTGAGAAGCTTGCTATATAAATACTTACATATCTTGTTCTCCTGCTGCAATTGTCATATTGCACTGTAAGGATCGAGTCACTTTGGTGGTGTTGGGACCTTGCTTGGACATATCAGGCCACTCTAATGTTCCTGCAGCCAACAAGATTTAGAATTAAAAGACCATTTCAAGAACAAAAAAAAATATATTTGGTGGAACTGTAACAAGAATTAATCATTTTTTTTCTTTCCACAATTAATTAAAAACTAAGCACTATAGATGACAAAATTAAAAAAAAAATTATTTTTATCAAATTTCATAAAAGTTAAAAATGGGGGCTTAATCCATTTTGCGATGTAAATTGATCCTCCCATAGAAGCCAAACAAATATGCTCACACGACCTTATTTCTTAAAATATAAACAGATATATAGATATATTTTAATTCATAATCTAGGGTGCTTAATTGATAGGAATATATGAAAAAAGAAAGACAGCTTACAAATTTCTAGAATCTTTCGGGCAATTCTGACAGCAATAGTTTGTCTTTGTTTGAGTTTTGACATAAGACTAAAAAAGTGCATAGACACTCAGACAACTGCAAGAATTAAAAAGGTCAAGATACCACACCACATCCGGAATCCTTATTGAGGCAGGCCAGCACATGGTGATGAGATTTTAGCCAAACCAGTTGACATTTAGTTTCTCTCTCCCTCGTACAAATGATGCTACAACTAGTGACCCTTATACGATAAAGTGGGATAAAAATGATTGATTTGTGTTTTTACAGACTATCAACCCATTGCAGGTTATTTAAAGCCTGAAAATATTTTTAGATTGTAAGATTTATTTTTTGGAGATTGGTTTAATGATACAATTCTAACTAATTAACCCACAGTTGGGGGAAGAATATGTGGATTTATACATTACACCATCCACATATTGAAGCTTACAACACCTGGTATTCCCAAACGATCACCCATCAAGGTACAGACCAAGCTTAAGTTTGCTTAACTTCGGTGATCATACAGGAACAGGTGTTTCAATGTTATGTGTCTGTAAGCCTGGGATAAAAACAAAATTGCCCATCATTGATGCAGTCTATGATATAGCATTGGAACCTGAAGAATTTAAGACAAGAGACAACACGAAACACAACATAGGTTAAGTCTACTGAAATCAGCTTGGCTGCATATGGCGAAGAATTTTAGTATCTTGTGCAATCTCTTACCAATACTTGAGGTGCTATATCCAAGAACGTTTTCATGAACCATCTTTAAACTCAGCTTCTCAACTCACCATCTAACCACACAAAAGGAAAGCTACAAATCCTCTTATATCTGGATATATTTTCTGAGATGGAGGTATTGTAATTATTTACACTATTTTTGGTCAAGTCATTGGATTCAACCAATGCTTTTATCGATTGGGTCATGTACCCTTGACCCAAAGTGTTGTGAGTTCAGTACCTGGGAGATAACTGAAAGTGAGACATCTGGAAGAGGCATGGCACATGGAACTAGAACAGTCTATTCTGGTAGATGAAATAAAGGGCTAAGTTTGAAATTCAAATCATCTGAAGAAAGCCAGGGTGTACGAAACTTTGTGGATATGACAACAACGATGAAGACAACAGTCCAAAAAAAATGTAAATAATTACAAATCTTTTGTTTAAGTCTTAAAAAACTAAGGAGATAAACAAAGAACAGGTGATTAAATGAACAAATGTCTTTTCATTTACCTGACCAGATCTTTTTCTCTCTAGTAACCTTGGGGCCCAAAGCCGTATTATTAATATCAATTGGCAACCCTGGTTGGCTGGGTCCTTGTGGTGGGGGTTGTTGTTGTTGCTGCTGCTGTTGTTGAGGAGATGGCACAGCACCCTGTTGTTGCTGCTGCTGCTGTTGTGGCTGGGTCATTGGTTGAGCCTGCTGCTGTTGCTGCTGCTGCTGTTGTGCCTGTTGTTGTGCTTGTTGCTGCTGTTGTTGCTGTTGAGCTTGCTGCTGGGCCTGCTGCTGTTGCTGCTTCATGGACTGCAGTTGTGCAGGCGTCAAGTGGATACGCTGCTGCCCCGCCTGCTGACTGATGGTTGCAATGCCTGCACCAGCGCCAGGGGCAGCATTAGGTGGCATCTGAGAACCAGGGCTATTCTGGAAGTTGGGATGTACCTGCTGTTGCTGAAGTTGGTTTGGCATAGTTACATGAGGGTGAGTCGGGTGCAGCTGTGGGTTCTGCGCCATGGTCATGGGACCTTGAAGGTTTGCATTGCCTGGAGCCATTACAGGTTGGCCAGGTATCATACCACCCGGTTGAGATACAAGGTTGCCTTGAGCCATCATTGGTGCTTGCTGTCTAGGTCCCATCATTGTCTGAGAGGTGGCCATAGCTTGGCGTGAGACTGTAAAATACAAGAGACAACAGAATGAGTCTGAACGAAAAAAAAATAAATAAATAATTCAAAACAACAAAGAAAATCTGAATCAATTCAAATGGACAGGCATGCATAAAGAAATTAAAAAGTTAAAATTTTTTTTAACAAGGTTTTTAGTACTAAATTTCAACTCATAAAAGGAGCAAAAAGTCACTCAAAGTAGAAGATTACATACAAAGTAGTAATAAATAATTAGGGCATGGTCTGAATGAAGCAGAAAGTGATAGGAAGTGCTATCATAATACCTCTGAGACGAGGTATTATGTTTATTTACATTATTCAAACTGTTATCCTCATTTTCATTGCCATATTCAAGTTTTCAGCTGCTGTAGATTACAGGAGATTGGAATTTCTGTTCTACATCCATGTGCCATGCCTCTTCCAGATGTCACAGTTATTTCCCTTTAACTCAACTATCTAAGTATTTTGGTTCACCACTGCAGTAGCCTGGTATTTAACTCACAACTCTTTGGTTCGAGTTATTGCATCTAACCAACACCTTTATCCACTGGGCCATGTGTCCTGTGTATGTGTTATAGTGGAACACACCTATTCTATAGTTAATAGACTCTCCCACCTATAATAGGTAGGAGTAGTAAAAGTAACGAGGGAACCAGTCGGTGAGTCAGTCGATGTCAGACGACAGTTAGTCAGATACTAAAGTATCAGCAACCACAACTATATTACTCTGCGTAATACCTATTATATCAAGTTCCTAACGTTTTGTACGTCCAACCTATTTTAGGACCGACTTAGTACAAATACAAGCCTCCACTGTGAAACCAATCCACAACAGTATGATTTTCTGGAACTTATAAAACTAATGTCTCAGCACTCATTTTTTTACCAGTGCTTATACTGCAATTTTTCCATTATTATTAATACTTGGAGAATTGATTTAAAGGGAAATAACTAATACATACAGAAGAGGCTTGGCACATGGAACCAGAACAATCTACCACAGTGGATGAAATAAAGGTTTCAGTTTGAAAGTCTGGAATCATTTAAGTGTCTTAATGTGTTGGCTCTACAGAAAATATACTTGTTGAAATTGATGCATTTTATTCATTCATAAAACTTTTTCTTAAAATAAATTCAACTACACCTGCTTTCCTTAGAACTTTATGTTCAAAATTGAAAAAAAATAAAAAAATCTTATGTGACACATTTCATCCTCCAAAAGGACTTCTTGAGACTAGATGATTTTTTTTTTTTTTTTTTTTTTTTTCACTGAAATGTAATTAGGAGGGAATGAAAATAACAAAACCTAGTTACAATTAAAGATGAAGAGAGAAAACTGAAAATACTGCTTAAGTTTAAATTTTTAAATTTCTGGCATCCTATGTGTATAGCCTAGCCAACATCATTACCAGTTTTGTTTTTAATGATGCGCTAAGGAAAAGGAAACAACATTAAATTGTCTAAAAGTTCTAAAAAGAGAAGAAATGGTAACGCTTACCCATCATAGCAGATTCCTCATTCTTAAAAGAGAAAGAAAAAAAAATCAATTAAGATACAATGTCATTAAAAATCAATAAATAATTGATACAATCAAATAGAAATTAATCAAATTCTCAGAATGATACAAAATATTCATTTTTCTTTCTTTAAATTTCATCAATCAATTACATATAAAACAGTGCAGATTAGTTTCTGTATATTCCTAAAATTTCAAATAAGTTTTCTGTGTATAACTTCCCTCTTTCTTTTCTACAAATATTTTCATGGCAACTGCTCTGATGAGTTTTTTACTTATTTTTTTTTTTATTTTTATTACCCTGGTGCCCAGGCTAGATGAATTTAAGCATGCTACTAGATTAGCATCAAGGTCCCACCCATTTACTGTTGAAATAGTTAAATACAACTGGCACTTCCACTCCAACTGTTTCTTTTCTCACACTTCCTTCCTGTGGAACTTACTTTCCTGGTAACTATAAGCTTCAAAAGCTTAAATGCAACATCAATCACCATTTTCACCTTGTTTGGGGGTGAAATAATTTTAAAAAAAATATTAGACACTGACTAAGATATTAAAAAGACAAAGAATTCCGATTATTCCCAAATTGATTTTGGACAGAGATTTTGGTCACAATTTCTTGTGTGTGTGTGTGTGTGTGTGTGTATATATATATATATATATATATATATATATATATATATATATATATATATATACACACAACTTTGCTATACACTCACAGAAAGATGTGGCAATCGATCCTCAACCACCCAAACAAAATGGCTTGACCACATGTTCCATCAGTCTAAAAGTTTGCAAAAACACCTGCAGGTCTCAGGAGACACATGCGTACCCCTAAAAGATGAAAACCTCTTTATTTTACTAAGCTCTCATTTGTCATCCATGACAAGAGAGTCCACCACATATATATATATATATATATATATATATATATATATATATATATATATATATTGATTAAATATAAAGAGGTTATTTAATGTTATAATAATTAAATATTATTAACAGACATCTAGTTGATATACACTAGTTTTATATGTCAGTCAATTTATTTTGTTTATATTTGTAGTTTTATATGAGTGCAGACATAAAAATAAAAACAAACGTTATCATTTATTATAGATAATTCACATGACTGACTATTGTAACTAATTTTGGATTTCAAGTTAAAAAAGCAACATGATTATTTGGCTTTTCAATTGTTGCAAGGAATCTGTGAGATTCACAGTTGTAAGCTGAACATTAGCACATAAATATGTGTTTATAAAATAGATTCTCTGCAATCAATGCAATCATTTTTGCTGATGTTTCTGATGAACGATTTAAATATTACAAAACACTTTACCCAGTTCTCTTATAATCAATATTATTGTAAAAAGTTTTCTTCAGATTCACAGAAACTAAATACAATTTGCCAAATTCTTAGATTCTCAGAGAGGGATAATCTTTTTTTTTTTTTTCCCCCGAGGATGGACACGAAAGATTGAAAATAAAATTAATGAACTTACCGACTGTGACATCACCCGAGACTGAACAGCATTCTGAATTTGTTGTGCCCCTATGTTTTGTTGCATCAGGTGAAGTCCTGGCTGCTGCTGGGGTTGTTGCATGTTCTGTGGAGACATATTTGGCTGCTGCATCACCTGTGGTGGGGTCATCGGCATCTGTGGTCCACCAGCACCAGCCCCTCCACGACCTCCCATGTGAGCCATACCTTGCTTTCCTGGACGCATTGGCTGCTGTCCCATTTGCTGTGGCTGACCACCCTGTGACTGGACATTCATATGATTGGCTTGGTTTGGTATCACCGGCTGACCAGGTACCATATTCCCTCCAGATTGAAGCGACTGAGGAGATGGCTGTTGATTACCAGGCAACACAATCGCTGAAAAACAAATATAAAACACGTGTCTAAAAATAGCATAAGCAGATTGTTTTATTCAAATTATTTCAAAATGTTCCTTCTTTACAGTGCTATTAAGAAAAAAAAAAAAAAAAAAAGGTTATTAGAGTCACCGATAGATTTGTTTTATGGCACATCAACTCTTTGTGAGTTATTTAATGCCAGAAGATTAAAACTTTACATTTTATGTTGATTAAAGATTTTCATAATTTTTTTTATAAAAATTTTAACATCAAGATTTCATTTCTGGCAAACACGGATAAACATAACCGCAATAAGCCAGTTTCAAAAGGACAGTTTTTCCCTTGATACCGCTATTACTTTAACTACCTTCACTCCTCGGCAATGTTTATTGTTTTAAAAAGTGATGAGTAGAAACGGAATAAAACCTAAGCATACCATGAAAGTGAATTTATACATTTTGTTTGTTCTTGAGAATTTGCAACAAAAATATTAAACACTATTAAATTGTTTATTGGAATTGATGTTAAAACCTTGACTAATTGCTGAATGATAAATATTGTTCTAACATTAGTTCTAATTCTATCAATTTTTAGAATTTTGCAAATATAAAATTATTCTTGTAAATAAACAATCTAATAAATAGTGTTTATTATTTTTGTTGTCAATTCTCAAGAACCAAAAAAAAAATGTATAAATTCACTTTCATATGTTTAGGTTTTATTACAATTTGTAATCATCACTTTTGTAAACAAACAATGGTGAAAAGTTTAAAAAGCAGTGTCATGGGGAAAAAAAAAGTCCTGACACTATAAGCCATTATCGATTACACCATCTGTACATCCAAGCTTAAAGCACCTGGTATTTCCAAGCAGTCACCCTTCTAGGTACTGACCAGACTCAATGTTGCTTAACTTTGGTGATTATATAGGAACTAGTGTTTCAAGGTGATGTGGTTGTAAGTAGTGATGGAATGATAACAATATTTTTACCGATTCTGATACAATTCCCGATATTGTCCTAAATTTCTAATTCCGTTAAGATTCTTGATTCCAAGGATGATTAAAATTCATTATTTTCAGCCCCTGCAATTGGTTTTGGAAACTTAATGAACAAAGTACATTTATTAATAAAATATTTATGAGAAAAATGAATACAAAAGCTTATAAAATAAAGTTAGATACCTTTTTATTTAAAAATTGGGTAAGTATTTAAACAATAAAGGGAACAATTTCTTTACATAAATCACTTAAGTACTTAGCTACAGTTGACATGTTGCTTCACTTTGGTTATCAACAGAAATCTTAAAAAAAAAAAAAAAAACTTCCAAACTACAATATTCTGCTTGGCATTGGATACATTTGCCATAATTGGGGTCTGAAAATAATAAACATTGGTTGAAAATTTCAATTTTTCATTGTTAGATAAAAAATGTTTCTAGTTTTCTCATGTGTATAATTTGTAAAGATTCAACTAATAATAGTTTGGTATTGTAAAATAAAAAAGGGTTTAGCTTTTGTCCATCCTTTAAGTTTTAACAAGCAAATGTGCCCCTCTAAATATTATGCAATTTCCTTAAAATTATATATGCGGCATTTTTCAATAAATGGAACAAATTTAGAGGTAACAATTCGATTTCTGCATGCACTTCAAAAATAAGAGACACCCTAATATATATATATATAATATTGGAAGAATAATACTCTAAAAACAGAAAGGCATCATCCTATGTATTGTGGCTTAACTCCTGCATATATTTAAATAAAGTACAAGGAGTACTTAATCCTGCAGGACAGTGAATAAAAATAAATGCAAATTTTAAATTTGCTTACAGAATTAAATATGAATAATAGTAGCAATAATAAAGTCTCTTCAATCTTATCTTAAAAATTTAATGACTAATAAAGTATTACTGCCTGAAAATATTTAGTAATTTCTAACAAAAACAAAAAGAGCAAAACACCAACACAGTAAAAACATATCTCTTGATTTTTTTTTTTTTAGAGATGTAAACAATTTTAGCAAACTTTACAATAAATTCTTAAAATTATTAGGAAGTTGAAAGCTAAATAACAGTGATATCCAACTTGATCATTTTATAAGGAATGAGATTCAAGTGTAACAAAGTGTTAAAATAAAATTAAGATTAAAAATGATTCAAATTTTCATAAGAATGAGAACAACTTTAAATGTGTATTTTTTGCAGGCAATCAATGTTTTCAGTTATTTATTAGATTATCAGAAGATGAAATTTTACTAGTTTTATTTTAATATTAAAACAAATCACGTTAAAAGTGGAAAAAAATAGCTTAATCATGCCAGATAAAAACGGAGATAAAAATACTAGTTTTTAACTTTTTTTTTTTTTTTTACACTTCTACCTAGAAGACTTGCATCTCATTTGGCTCTAAGGAGGAATAAATGAGAAAAAAAAAAAGTTCAAAATATTTTAAATGCCATAATAATTTAAAACAGGAAAGTTCAATTATTCCAAAGAAAAAAAAAATATTAGTAAAATATAATTTTTGATGGAAATTAAATTTTAGGGTTTTTTAATACAAACTTTTGTATGAAAAATCTTTTTTTCAGGAAACGTCAAATAAAAGTTTGTTTTTTTTTTTTTAAGTAAATAAAGATGAAAATCCATTTCAAAAGCAATAAAATGTTAAAAAATACATAAATTTTATAGAAACAAATTTAAGTTTCATAAAAAGAATGTTTACTTTTTATGTCTTGGTTATAGAAAAGAGGATTTATTTTTTTTTTTACGTAATATGCCACATTAACAAAAATAAATCTTTTCAATAAGCAAGACAAAAAAAATAATTTTATGGATTAAAGCTATCATAAAAACAAATTGTTGTAACTACCATGACACAAGGCCAATTTTTTATGTGAAGAAATCAAATGTGACATTGGCAGGAATTCCATGCATTCATTTTTTTTCTTTTTCATAAATTAAAAAAAAACTAAAAATTGTCTTCGAAGAAAGCCTGTCTGTACAACGTGAATTCATTTTGTGTTTATATTACATAATTTTCATTATAATAATTAAATTAATAATTTATAATATTAAATGTTTGAATTAATGTTTAGAAAGAAATTAAAAATAAAAAAAAATTATTTTAAATTGAAACAGACTTTAAACTACCAAACTTTATGGAAATTTCTAGAACTGAGTAGAAACTTACACATTTCCTTTTAAAACAAAAAAATACAAAGTATTGTTTTTGGAATTAGAAATCAGGTTAAAAATTCTCTTATTCCGATGACAATTCCCCAAAAAGTTCTGATATTTTCAATTCTCTATTTCAATTAATCGTCCCATCACTAGTCATAAGCCTCGTCTTGCTGAAATTATTTAATCCATTTACTTTACATCCATCATTTCCATCATATTGTTCTCACTGCTTTTAGTCAAACTTCAACTAGTGCATACACCATTACGGTGACCACCAACACAATTTGAACATTGACATGCTGCAACACTAGTAATAAAACAATGTCACCAATACCTTGTTACTATAATTCCTATTACTGTTGTTGTAGTAGTAGTAGTCATAGCAATAATAATAATATTGTTATGGCGAGCAAATTTTTTCTTCCTCCGTATGAGTTCGAATCCTTGTTGTGGAGTGATTTCACAGTGGAGGCTTGTATTTGTACTAAGTTGGTCCTAAAATAGGTTCGATGTACAAAACGTTAGGAACTTGATATAATAGGTATTACACAGAGTAATCTTGTAGTTGCTGATACTTTAATATTCAACTAACGATCACCTGACATCGACTGACTGAGTGACTCCCTGAGCGACGGTATTTAGTTACCACCCCACGAGGGCATCAATGTGGCACAAGGCCGGTTTAACGTGGGATCTCCGAGCCCGTGGGCTCTGCCAAAAACATGCCCTTTGAACCCGTATAAACAGGTTCAGGGTCGGTTTACCTCCCCGAAAGAGACTCCGCCCTTCGGCGTAGCCTCGTTCGGGTTCTTCCCCGCCTGAAGGCAGAGAGTTCAACCGGTCAGCCGGTCGTCCGACTTCAGACTGAACTCGTACCAACTCACTGAGCGACTCCCTCATTACTCTTACTACTCCTACTTATTATAGGTGGGAGAGTCTATTAACTATAGAATAGGTGTGTTCCACTATAACAAATATCATTTGAGTAAATAATAATATTATATAGAGTCGGGCTAGACAGAGTAAAATGTTGAGATAAAATTAGCCTCAACTTAGCACATAAGATGCAGGGTGATATTTTTAGCCATTTGTTTTTTTTTGTTTTTTTTAACAAAATGCATTTGATAGATTTTTAAATACAGTAAGTGTAATTCCTGTTTTTAGTAGACTAAGTTAAAAATGTTGATAGAAATCAAAAATTTAAACACACAAAGCCATCAAGCTCTCAAGTAACTCATTTTTCAACCTGCTAAAATGCCAGCCTTTAAACATTATACATATTTTTTTTTATTCACTCAATAATACACCAGTTTATCAAACTACGATACGATTCACCAACTACAATTGAAATGATGTGGTCTCTCAGATAACATGCAGAAATTTATTCATTCGATAAAAATTTCCTTTCTTCTTACAAAGTCAAAACCACAAAAGGAAACTGTACTCACATATTTTAGCACGTAGCATTTCCGTGAGTTGCCTCTCTTCTTCTAAACTCGGACTGTTTGAGCGTTCTGAGATAATGAAAACGAAGAATTCAATTCAAATATGTTCAATTCAAGCATAATTAAAACAACATAGTCAAAAGACGGAAAACCAAAAAATCCATTTAATTTTAGGGCATTTCAAGTTTACTATCTTCAAATATAAGGGGATGCTGAAAAATATTCAGTTCAATTAAGATAATTTGATCAGATTTTGGAAAATGGGTTGAGCCAAGAATTTTCACTACCTCCACCCAACAAACATTTCTATAACTGATGTCAACCGACTTTAACAGAATCTCATACTCTATCTAAAATGTTAGTTGCACTCATTCAGGCGCCTAGTGAAACTCTAATAGACACACACACACACACACACTACGGTTTTGAATTTAAAAATGTGGCAAAGTCATAAATTTGACAGGTCTTCCATTGGATGTTTGGGACTGCAGCTAAGAAACCATAACACAGCTGATGACATTAGAGTCAATACACATCATGCTTATTTTAGCTTAAATGAGTCTATTGCTGCAATGTCACTTGTACAAATCACAATATCGCTGGTTCAATTCACCGTCCTCGCTTTCTTCACACATCACTACGTATAGCCAATGTTTCTGTCCCCTTTTTCACGGCTCCAGCACTTTTTTATCAGGCCAACATCGCGGTTCCCCAGCCACTCAGCGTTCTTCGCTGTTATTCTCGGTTACACAGGCAAATTGCCTCCTCCAGTTCGACCAATCAGCACACGACTTGCTATTGGTGGAAGCATTCCAAACTGTACAAAAAACCCTCATCATTGCACATACTGCTAGAATGGCTGGACGGGAGAGTAATGCCATTTTCACGAAGCAAACTTTCTGATGTCACGTGCCGTACGTTAAGGTAAGACCCTTATTTTCCTATACACCAGATGCAAGCCACTCTGGCTCGCTTGCTCTACGGGGATGTTCACCACACTTATGAACAGAAATATGATGAGAACAAAATTTCAATTTGGAAATGTTTTCTATTAAATTAGCAAAATGGTCTAATTCTTTTTGCTACTATAAAGTGATTCGTTTCCAATTACAAATTGAAAAGAAAATAAGCAGAATAGATCCCTAAACATTACCTATATTTATAGAACCAGTTCCTGGAAATTTAGAATGCCACTATATGGGGATGCTCAGTTCTTTGAGGACACATCTTTTCTTCATAGCTCTAATTTTTTTCTAAATATTTCTGATTATCATTTCTTTTCAGATAAATGATGGCAAGCATCGTGCTAACTCAGCAAATAAAGGAGGAATGGTGTAATCATTGCATTGAAAGGGATTTAAAGATTGTTTGTTTCCTGAAAGTTGCACAGTCGTTTGTTGTCAAAGTTTGCAAAGAGATGGAAGCAACTGACATTGATTCCACAACAGTAGCCGAACATAAAATGTCTGCCAAGAACCCCTATTACTATCAAAACCCACAGATTTGTAGGAAAAGTGCAGAAAATTATCAACGCGATGTGGAGAGGCCAGTTCATCTCAGTAAAGATGAAAACATAACCGTCCAGGGCACTCGTTTCAAAAGTTGAAACATGAAGTGCCAGAAAATCTTTGATCAGGACCAAAATGTGAAGCAAAGGAATGATAGACGCTTATGCAGAGACCTTCTAAAGACGATTCAACAATTATTTATACAAGGTTTCCAACAACTATATTTTTTTTCTCACTTTCTTCTATCTCAGAGGTACTATATTTTTTTTTTCCATGTCAGCCATAATCATCCTGTCATTGGTGTATCTTACATTAAGATTATGCCTACCAACAATAATTCCTTTATTAGGATCGCCTCGCTGTAGAGGTTGAATAAGTCTGGCAAGAAGAGGCATACTTGCCTTACGCCTCCTTTCTAATTTTGTGTATTTATTCAATCCATTTTCTATCCAAAATGACATGTTTGCTCAGTTATTTGAGAACACATCTTAATAGCTCTAACTTATTTGTTTATTACTCTAATTACCATTTCCTTTCAGATAAATGATAGCAAACATGAAGCAAATGAAAAGACATGCTGTAATCATTGTGTTAAAAGCAGTGCATAATGATTTTGGGATTGTTGGGAGTTGCCCTGTCATTCATTGTTAAAGTTTACAAAGAGCTAGAAGCCACTGACATGGATGCCACAGTAGTAGCCAAACATAAAATGTTTGCTAAAGGTCCTGATATCATCAGAATGCACAGATTTGTACAAAAAGTGCAGAAAATTATCAGTAAGAACCTCAAGAAATCAATTAATGCCATTGCTTTCAATAGAAGCCATATGCAAAGGCAAAAGATGGTTATCTGTGCAAAGTGCTTGATCTAGAGCTGGGAATGCTTTGGTTTTTCTCTCATGATCAGGATAAAAAGGTCAACTGAAAGAATGACATATGGTCATGTAGTGACCCTAATAAGGTTACACTGGACATGCACACAAACATTCTGACAACTCTGATAGTTCTGAGAGTTGTAAGCAACAACAGAGATGACATGCCTACCCATTTCTTTCCACAGAGAGTTTAAATCAATAGTTAAATGAGTAAGGAGAGGCGTTGAAGAGGGTTGTAAGGCCTTGAATAGAGAGTGTGAGCAAAGAAAGGCCGTATGTGTCTATAAACAAGACTCTGGACTGTTGCAAATGGAAGAGTTATAATCTTTGTGATCACGTCACCCCAAACATATGGCCTCCAAGCTCTTCAAACCTGAATCCAGTTAACTACTACATATGGAGTGTAGTCGAGAGGGACATCAACCAACGACCCCCCACCCCTATCTAGCACAATGTCCAAAATAGATGAAGACCATCTGATTCTATTATGTCGATGTTTTCAGACTTTATAATGAAGCTGTCATCGATGCTAACAGCAGATTAATTTGAGTCTTAAGGTTATTCATGCTGATTTTTTCTCAAAATTCTTCTTTCATGACTTATGCATCTTTTCCTAAATTTATACCAATGTCCTCAAAGAAAACAGCAAATCAGTAAATTTCTGACAAATATTTTTAACACTAGCAACTATGCAAGAGATTTGAACAAGCGAATAATGTTGTGTAATGTTAATGACCCTTAGATAATATCAATGTTTTTAACCCTACGACACTAACTATCAATTAAAGTTACCCCACTACTAACCATCAGTATATCATACCCGATTTTGAAAATATCCCAAAAAAAATACTAAATCTTTATTTGAAATATTTTGCATGCAGGCACATCAAACTTTGTACTTTGAGTTAACATTAATAGGAACTGAAAAACATTATTTAGGTAAGAAAATCAGATACTGAAAATTGTAATTAAAATAGGAAAATTTGTGCTGGGTACTACATACCCATGGTTAGTGTTCTAGGGTTAATATAGTAATTAAGAAACTGAGGCACCATGAAGTACCCAATTAGTGGCTAATACCTCTACCGGACGTATTAGTTGACAATTGGACTCATTTCAAGCTTAGAAGGGCATAAAAAGAATCAAGATCAAATGTCCGTAGCTGGTTTTTGAACGTTATGTTTTGTATATGTTTATTCACCATTGTCTGAAAAAGACACTTTCAGTAAAAATGTATGTACATGTGTATGCTGAGGAAGACGCAAAAGACTTTCCCTACCTGGAAGGGTGAATCCTTTTAATAACACCTGATGCCGATGATCAACAGTACAGTCTTTCATATTTATTTGAGAGTCACAGCCCATGTTACCCTGCACACACAAATAGAGACACCAGAGTAAATAAAAATTCCTAATTATAACAATGCCAAAAAATAAATTTACAATATATTAATTTTGAGAAGTGTTTGATGAAAAAGGTCCCTTTAAAAGAACGTGTTCCATCATTTTCAAAGTCATATATATATATATATATATATATATATATATATATATATATATACACACATACACACACACAAATACATACACAGAGTACATACTTTCATATCATACAACTTTTAAAAACTAATTTTCAGGAGGTCGCATCATACATGGAATATAAAATTTGCATATATACTGCTGGCTCTGGCTACACTATCGACCAAACTATATAGGTCTTCAAATGTCACATGATATGCAGGTATATATATATATAACTTAATCTTTTTTTAATCCTTTAGCATTCAACACGCTCAAACCTGCCTCATAAATATTGGCTCTCTCTCATGTGTATATATATATATATATATATATATATATATATACACATACACACATGCACATATATATACCACACCCTGTAAATATCGATTCTCATTTTTAACCCATGCATATGTATATTGTGTCATACTACATGAGGACATCATCCCAAGTAATGCAAGGAAGTCACATAAACAGCTAGACTTTGAGAGCCTATATTTATGGGGGTGGGTTTGAGCATGTTGAATGCTAAAAGAAAAAAAAAAAAAAAAAAAAATTAAGTTTTCATTCATTCATCCATACATCCACACATACATCCACATACACACACATACATACAAATTTCCTTTTCATATCTATAGAATAGGCTGTTCTGTGGCATAAATAAAACTATTCTGATCATCTAAGACAGAACAGAATAAAAAGTTTAAAAAAATTGGACTGGTTAGAAACAGTCAGGATAAAGATGAGCAAAAAGGTCAACTTACTTCTTCAAACAACCGTAACAGAACAGGTATTTTTCTGGGTGATATCACAGAGAATGAAATACCTTTCTGAAAAGTTAAAAAGAGAAAGAGAAAAGTTAAATTATCATAAATAAGATGCTATCACAACAAAATAACTAAAGAAAAATTTAGACTACTTTAAAAGCAATCAAATATTGAAGACAAGAGGGACAGAGGAAAACAATGCATGACATAGCTAGAATAAATGGATGGTGGAACAGGGTTTAGGAGAGATAAGAATAAAGACAAAATTTATTAAAAGTTACAAAAGACAGGAAATTGTGGAGAGCCATGATTGCCTGAGGGGGACATGGTGCCTAAAGATAATCAGATTCAGAAAGAGATGGCTGAAATTTTTGGGGCACATAACGAGGAAGACAGGCTTTAAGAATTTGACAATCGCAAGACGTATTGAAGGTACGAGGGACAGGGGAAGGCAGCTTATGTGAACGGATTGCAGAACGAAGAGTAAGCTGGATGGTGAAAAGAAATCTTGCTAAGGGTTATAAGGGGTAGCAGGTTGTGGATGGCCAATGTCATGATGGGATAGGGGGAACTGTTTACCATATCTGGTCTGGTGCTCCTGATGTCTATCTCAAGATTCTTGCAATATAAGGCGTCATGACCTGGCATCTCATCTCCAGTTACCTTCTAACCAACATGATGAGACTTCTCTCAGCCTGTTCTACAAATATTTTCATGGCAACTGCTATGACGGGCATTTAACCCTGGTGCCCCGACTACATAAATTTAAGCGTGCTACTAGATTGGCAACTAGGTCTCACAGTTGAACGAGCAAGATACAACCACCAATTGTACTCTGAGTTTCTTTTCTTGCACTTCCCACCTGTGGAACTCCCTTCCATTTACTTGCTTCCCTGATAACTCATCATCATCATCTCCTTAACTTTTGTAATTTACAATCTTTAAAAATTTAAATGCAACATCAATCGCCATCTTCTGTCTTCTTGAAGCCTGTTCTTTTTTTTTCTTTTTTTTTTTTTGGCCTTTTCCTCAATCCTCCCCATTTTCATTCTTCTCATTCACTTTCACTCCCTGTACCCCCCTCCCCCTCTAACCCCATGTTCTAGTGGCACTGTTGCCTTCTACCCATGGTATTCTCAACATTCATCAATAGAATCATGTGTGTCAGTTCATGTCTTCTCTGCCCCCACAGGAGATTACGAAGCAGTCTATTACCCTCTAGTTCGTTTCTAATCTTGGGTCTTTATCTTTCTTTCCCAAATTACAAAATTAAGTTTGCATGTAATAATGAATTAAGAAATTTCAAACTCTTCTCACTACAGCATACAAATCTTTATCCTTTGAGATGATCCTCTATTCACAGTTTATACCAGAGATCAAATTATGTCGGCTGAAATCTAAAACACATTTTAATTTAAATGCAATATCAATCATTATCTACTGTCTTCTTGTTTCCTCTTCTTTTATTGTTCTTATTCCTTAATAAGGTTTTTCTTTTTCTTATTCTTTTACATTCAGTAATCCATTGGGTCTTAGTGGCTTTATTGTCTTGCTTGGGGTGAATTGATTAAAGAATAAAAAATGTCACCATGGAAACATTTATGCATTAATATAATTAGACTGGAATTAAATTCTTTGTTTTTATTTTTTTATCCTAATTGGGGAGTTGGGTTGGTTGATTTTAAGAAATATCAGCTCTTCCTGGGTTATTTAACATTGAAATATTTCAGTTTATAAAAGTTAAGTTTGGTTCAGTAGTTAGAAAATTGTTTATATCTGAGTCTATAAGCAAATACTTGGTTCAGGGATACGTAAATATTGGTCATTTATATTGAATTTGTAAGGATATACTTGATAGACCACCTCCAAAAGGACCAACTAACAAGATAAAAAAAAATCTTTACAAAGAATCATATTAAACCCCTCACCATAAAACTTAAAAAACACAAAAATTATATTGAACATTTATAATGCAGTCAAAAAACAATTCGTAGATTTTAAATATCTAGTAAAAAAAAAAAAAAAAAAAAAAAAAAATACCTAGAAGCAGAACAGGCAACCCTTTAATCAATTACCTCATATAACAAATGGGGGTATGTCAAATCTATTGCCAGCTTATCAACATTTTGCAGGTTATTTAAATCCAGAAAATATTTTTAAATTATTAGAATTTTATGGGGAGATAATGATTTAGTGATACAAGTCTTGCTAATTAACCCATAGCTGGAGGAAGAAAAGGTGGATTCATACGTTTCCCCAAGACTATTTGCACGTAAGTGAATATAATGAACCCAACAGGAATTGGAACTCAGCTCTCCGATTAACAATTCCAAGCATTTATCCATTACATCAACCTTGTACATCCAAGCAGCCGCCCATCTCGGTACTGACCAGGCTCAACTAGGCTTAACTTTGGTGATCATACGGGAACTGGTGTTTTAATGCTATATGGTTGTACGCTCCAAATTTTATTTTAAGTAAATTTACATAATGTCTCATGAAATTTTTTATGCCAAAAGCATTAAAATCTGTAGAAATTAATAAGAAATGAAGAGAAAAAAAAATTTTTAATGAAGTAGAAATGAGTAGAATATGACGTTTCTCTGGTAAAGTACATCAATTGTGTGCTGTTTGAGTTCACCAAACAGCACACAATTGGAAAGAAAAGAAAAATTAACCCGGTACCAATAAAAAGTGCATAAATTATTTTTTAACTTAATATAAAAATAACAAAAATGAGAAAATAAGCAGTCAATTGCTGATACCCCCTGAAGAGTAGACAGAGCGATTACGAAAAAGCCTGTCTACGAAAGACTGGAGTCAGGATGGTGAATACAACATCAATCAGTTAAGTAACAATTTTCATATTTTTGTATATATATATATATATATATATATATATATATATATCAAAGTGTAGGAGAACAAACAGTAGGATTACAGCATTCAAAAGATTAATTGAAAAATACTGCTCAATACATCAAGTAGAGCCGTAAATATTGATTTATCTATGCAGTGTTACATTAGAACATGCACATATCCACTACAAAATTGTACATTTTTGTTTCAACATCAAAAAAAGACGTCTCATCAGGTAGGGAATCATAGAGTAACACTGTGTTTCCCCACCTGATGAAACATCTAAAAAAAGGTTTTTCCTTTTTTGACGTTGAAACAAAAATGTACAATTTCTGTAGTGGTTATGCACATATTCTAATGTAACACTGCATAAAAAATGACAATAATGAAAACAAAGAAAAAGAAAAAAGGCCTGAAAGCAAACTTACCAACTCGGGTAAGTAAAGTGCTCAAAGCCTAGATAGAGCAAAAAATGTTTACCATCCATTCAAATTGTCTGAAGATCGCATGAACCAGAAACTCAAGTCATGACTAGGATTTAATGCTGGTAAGCATTTTTTGTTCTATCTAGGCTTTGAGCACTTACCCGAGTTGGTAAGTTTGCTTTTTTTTCTTTTTCTTTGTTTTCATTATTGTCATTTTTATTCGAGACTAGATAAGAGTTTTAGGTTTTGGCAAGTTGCCCATTGGTTCCACCAACGATTTTTGTTTTCTTTTATATATATATATATATATATATATATAAGAGGAAAAACTATTCTTCTTAGCCAATGCGTTGCGTTCTCTGAGGGACTTTGTCAAAGTAAATGTAGGAATTATTTCGTTGTACATGTTTATATACAAGAGCAAGGATGTCCTTGGTTTACCAAGGCTTTTGAATTTGAGAACATTCATGAATATTCATATATATGTATGCACCTCCACTTCTAAATCCATGAGACATACAAAAAAAAACAAAAAAAAACGAGTGAACAGGAAAAGCAAAACTATTCTTTTGTCACCTCTTACAGATCTGCAAATATATTTTCAACTAGGTAAAGAAAGGAATTAAAACTTACATTAGCCATCATGCTAACAAGTTCTTCACAGGTATGACCAGCATAGTTTTTCACCTGAAAACTTGGGATCTGGTAAGGTGGAGAGTTGGTGACAAGCACACAGTGACATTGTGGCTTGATACTGCAATAAAATTAACGACAGGTATTTAATAAGAGCTAAAAGAACACATTCATTATTAGAGCGATGTTTTTTTTTTGTTTTTTTTCAGTATACCACTCAACATTAAACATAAATTTGTGATGAAACTAAATCCAGACATTGTTGCAATGACATTTAACTCTTTAGCATTCAACCAGCCTCATAAAATATCGACTCTTAATGTTCTACCTTCCATGTATACTCTGACATAATATATGACAACATTATCACAAATAAAGCAGGTACTCACACAAACAGTGAAATTTTGAAAGCCAATATTTACAGGGCAGGTTTGAAAATGTTGAATGCTAAAGGATTAAATTATATTAGCATCATGCCTTAATGATGTAAATATTAATGAATTGCCAGTCTCAATGTAGTAGTTGATTGTTTGCTTGATTTTTTTTTTTAGCAGCATGTCAACACCATTATGGGTTATTTAATCACGAAATCTAAATATTTTGAACACAATTTTATGCTTTCAACTACAGATAAAATGTATTGATGGCCATTTTGCTTTAAAATTGTTGGTATTTTTTTTATGTAAAAATGTACTACTGCTATTTTACTATAAAAATGTATTGTTGGTATTTTTTTATGTAAAAATGTACTACTGCTATTTTACTATAAAAATGTATTGTTGGTATTTTTTTTTATTTTTTTTACATAAAAAAAATACCAACAATACATTTTTATAGTAAATATCTGAGAATGCCAGTCTTTTAGAGCAGCTAACTAATCCCCGTTGCAGACGCCTGCTCAGACACATTTGTGTTTGTTCAGTACCAAGAGCCCACCTGTGGTTTATACTTCAACTATGTTGTGCGGACCTTAATTACAGCACATTATCTAGCCTGATCAACAGTCTCAACAAAGCCAGCACAACCACTGATGACTCCTGCCTACCCATTTTCACTCACAAGGCTTGGATCAACCCATGGTGTGGTTTCTAGACACTTTCCAAAGGTGCTGCATGCTGGGATCACCTCCTCCAGACCAATAACATCAAATCATTTTCCTGGTGAGATTCAAATCCGGTTCTAATCATCATAAAGCAAACGTTCTAAACATTCAACTACATGCCCATTAGAATATTACTACTGCACTGAATACAACACACTAGCTTTTCAATTTAAAAAATATCAGTAAGCAAGTGAATCACTTTGCGAACTTATGTGGAAAAGAGGACAAGACAGAAAAATCACTTAAAATACATAAACGCACGAACAAAAATGTCATCCTTACCTTGGATGGCGTCTCTTTTTAAAGTCATCAAAGACTTGAATTGCAGTACTGAGACCTTCAGCTACATGACTCTTGCCTTCTCCAGCACCACCAATAAACCTGGTAAAAAATCATCAAAATGTTTAAGGAAAGACAAACAAAAGGACTACAAGGTGAGGATGCTGAAAAGATTTTGGCTCAACTGAAAAGATTCCAAAATAAATAGTGACAGTTTGGTCAGGTTTTGGGAAATGGATCAACTTTTTAGCAGCCCCATGTATATATATGAATTTGTATATTAAAACAATGTTTAGTTGATGGACAAGAATTATACAAATTAGCAAATATAGCTGATGTTAACATCATATATACAATGTTGGATCAAAAAGTATTGAGACTGATGCTATAAAAAAATAACTACAACATATATCAATTCAGCATTTAATCTCATTCAAAGTAGTCTCCCTTCTGAAGGCACACACGCTTTATCCAGTCATCGTTTCCACTGATGGAAACATTCCTGGAATTCCTTTATTGGGATAACAAGCAGCTGCCTTGTCGTATTCTCTTGGATTGCATTGTCATCTTCAAATCTTGTTCCTTTCAAGTCAGATTTGATTTTTGAAGTGGAAAAAGTCAAGGGTTGAAAATCTGTCGAATATGGTAGGTGTCGAACTTGGGGAATATTGTGCTTGGACAAAAACTGCTTCACAAGCCATGGTCACTGACATAACCTCTGGAAGTAGTGAGACAACCACACTCTACACACTCCTTCCAAGCACTGTTATAAACAATGGAAATGAGTGAGAACATTATTATTTAGTGTGTATTCAAGGTCAGTCTTAGCCAAGTGATTTCACTCTAGGCACTTTATGATAAGACCTCATATATATATATATATATATATATATATATATATATCAGGCGGAGATGGGACTAGTGCTACTGGTGTTTTACGACCAATAACTTTCGGTCAATGTTATTCAAAATGGATTAAAAATCATCCATTAATTTCAAGCAAACATACTTAGGCTGATCTCAATTAAATTACGTATCTATTCAAGTTTCGATAACTAAGTAGCCAAAAGTTCATAAATATATCTGGGAATAATACAATGATGCTGTTTTGAACGGATGGCCACCGTCAGATCTATTGAACATCCCATAATATCGGCTATAATGTTGAACCGCAACATAATCCGTGCCAAGCACAAGAAAAGCTTATAAAAACAAGTAATGTTAGAGAAATCTCGCTTTTGGCTGTAGCCAATGGTGGCAAAATCAAATCGAAATACCGTGCTCAGAACAATTAGCACATTGTGACTGCTGATGATTGTCTTGGAAAGAGAGAGAAAGACCGAGAGAAAGAGAGATAGAGTAGTAGTAGTAGTGAAATGCGAATAGATGTTTGTAAACATAACCACGTTTATTTATATTGTAAATATCAGTGATGAAGTTATTGTTTCATTAATTAATTAATAAAGAACAGGTTTTTGAATAAGAGTGAATTTGTTTTTTTTTTTATTGAGGAATGTTTTTTTTCGTGAATTTTGAATCATAGAAATCTCTGAAAAAATACTATTAATATAAAATAATAATATTAATATAAAATGACATACAAACCGTATTTTTAAATGAGATTTCTATGATTCAAAATTCACGAATAAACCATTCCTTAATAAAAAAAAAACGATTGTGAAGTGCTAATAAAAAATCAATCATTTAATTATTTTATAATTCCATGAGACAAATGACCTGGAGAGTTGTGGACTTAATTGCTAACCTGGTTAGTTGTCATTGTCATCAATTTCTTTTTTCTAATAAAGATATTTTTCTCGTCATAGTAATGAACATCTTCTCTTTTCTTCTATACTTTTGAAAGGAAAAAAAAAACTTATCTACTGTATTAACAAGACTACAAATTATATAGTATCTTGATTGTTTACAAAAACCACCATGCAAAGTACGTTAGTCAATCTGTGCTATACAATGGAGAATCACATAATAGCAACTATGATGACTTACTTTGGGTCCACGGACCACGGGTTGGGAACTGAAGTTGACAGAGGGGGGGGCACGAGTAGCAAAAATAGGCTAGAGAGTCGCCACTGATATATATATATATATATTTTTATCATTTCACCCCATGCAAGGCAGTAAAACCACTAGGGCACAAGGGGTTAATGAGTGTGAAAGATTAAGAAAAAAAATAAAAACATTATTAAGAAGCAAGAACATTAGAAGAGCAATCAAGAAGAAGATAATAGACACCAATTGGCATTTAGGAATTCATTAGACTAAACAAATATCACTTTAGTCCGATGAAGTTCTAAAAGAGAAACCTGGTCAAACAAAACCTTTTTACACTGTGTCATAGTTCCCCACCCTTTTATAAAAATAAATAAAATATATATATACCTAGATGCAGTACTATTTATAATTATTTAAATAAATTAATTTTTTTTCGCAATTTCTGCTGTAAGATACACAACAAAATCTCTGGATAGGATAGCAAGAACGAAGAGACCTTCAAAAGATGTCACTTACGGGACACTATCAAGCCAACTGAGGAATGTGTGGATGTTAGTTGTTGGTGCATAACAACGAGCAGCAGGTTCTGGGGCAATGTCAGCCGAGTGGAATGTCACCAGAGCATATAATGTACAGCTGAACTGAAAAAAAAAAAGACACATATATATATATATATATATATATATATATATATATATATATATATATAGAGGATATTCTTCAGTCAAACGAGATAAAAATCAGTTCGGTGGTGGGGGTATATTTAGCTCATTGAAGGGATGAAGAAATTGTTAATAAAATCAGCTTGTGAACTAACACACAAAACAAAACAAAAAAAAAAACTCATTAAAAAGGGGGTGAAAGTAGAAAATATATCATTCCCCACCAAACTATCTTTCCCTACAGCAAACAGCACACTAAAATTAGTTCTCTCTCCAAAGTCAGCTTTGAATGTCCATGTTTATTTTTCATCTACTTGAATATAACACACTAGTTTGAGACAACTGGAGTGATCCCCTAATTGCCACGGTCATATCTGTCCAGAGATGCTGATCCATTCTTTTGACTACATAATGAAAGTCTGGATGTATTGATACCAAACCTAAGGCATCTCTCCAGATTTAACATTCCATAGAACATTTTGTCACTGTGTGAAAGGGACAGTTTTTGATCCTATATAATGAAAGCTCCTTTCTCAACCATGCTGCCTCCAAAACTGCTGCCCTCGCCTCAGAAACGATCCTTTCTGGAATGGAGTTTTTTTTTTTTTTTTTTTTTATTCCTTCCAGTAAAAGTTCCAGCAGAAAACCAAACCGTCAGCCCTGGTTCACCCCTGAATGCACTGCAGCCACAGCTCACCGGGATCACTATTTCAATATCTATCACAAGGAGTGGTGTATTTTGACCCTTACTGCATTTAGAATTGCTCACAATCACTACAAAAAAGTTCTAGAAAATGCAATGTGCTACAAGGCACAAGCTACCCAGGCCAAAGTTCAAAACAAACAAATTGGATCCTGCAAATTCTCAAGATTGCCAACCAAATCATGAAAAGAGGGAAAACAGCTGTACCAACTATTATAAATGGCCCTAAGGTCATATCTTCCTCAACAAACAAGGTGAGGCTCTTTGTCTCCATCTTTGCCTAAGAAAATTACTGTGTTAATACATATTATTTATTCTGAGTACTTTCAACATTAGCACAATGTCTCATCAAGGTGGGTTTTTTTTTTCAAGACAAATATTGTAGTATTTATAATTTTTAAAGACAGCTGTATGTTTTAATTTATTGTATATGTCTTTTTTTGATACTATAAAGAGAGAGTGCAATTTGTATCAACGTGGTAATTTTCTCTCTTCCTTTAATGACACCAAAAAGCTTGTCTATGAATTATAAAGAATCCAATTGAAAATAAGTAGACAAAACTTGTCTAAATTACTCAATGAAAACATGCTACATATATATATTATTTAAGATAACAGACATATAGGACAAATAATCCTTCTCAGGCTAGGAGGAAATTCTTTCAGAAATTTGTCCAAAGTTCATTTTGGAAGATAGCAAAAGAAATATTGTCCAAGTTTTTGACTGTCTTAAAGTCCATCATCAACAGGGTTAGGTAGGGATATATGGTGGGTTTCATAAAACTAAAGAGTGTCACAATGTAACTGATGTATTCCATGTACTTTTCTTCCAAAATGAATTTTGGATAATTTCTGACAGAATTTCCTCCTTGCCTGAATATTCTTTGAACTTTATAAAAGTGGATCAGTAAAATTAATCAGCACAAAACGTGTTATCTTAAATAATGTGTGTATGTATAAGGAAGTCAGGGTCAATATTGAAGAATAAGGCAGCTTAAAGCATCAAGTTACATGCAAAACTTGAATAACCCTTACACAGAGACCAGAACAGCACTATCATAGCCAAGGATTGAAAACTCAAATAATTTGTTTCACTGGAAGAAACAAACAAGCAAAACAAAAATGAATAAAACAGGTGAGGAATAACCGATATAAAATAGGCCCTAAGCATTCCAAGCACCTGAAGAAGTCCGGAGCGTACAACGGCCGAAACATTGTAATAAATATGGCAACAAAGATGAGGACAATAGTCCGAATAATTTAAATAATGTACTATTGAAAGTAATTGAACAAACTACTTTCATTGGTTCCACCAAGTCTAAACCTTCACAGCTAGCACCCACCATGCCACGTACGTAGTAACAAACCACCCATATTCCCTTCATATTCCATCAGCGAGGAGGAAGTTCCATTCAAACAGCATCTTCCTGTGAACCACTGTGGAACACTCTCTCATGCAGATATTTCCCCTGATCACTACAATCTTAACCTGTTCAAGTCAAGAGTTAACCATTATCTTCCTCTCCTATCCATATAAACTACCCATTGGTGAGAAATAATTTCCATTCAAACAGCTTCTTCCTGCAAACCACTGCCCTATGGAACAGACTCCCAAGAGGATGTTTTTCTCAATCACTACTATCTTAACCATTATCTTCCTCTCCTATCCATATAAACTACCCATTGGTGAGAATTAATTTCCACTCAAACAGCTTCTTCCTGCAAACCACTGCCCTATGGAACAGACTCCCAAGAGGATGTTTTCTCCAATATCTTAACTACAATCTTAACCTGTTCATGTCCTGAAACAGCTTCTTCCTGCAAACCACTTAACCCTATCTTCCCTACTCCATACATGTTTACCCCTTAATGTAATCCCCCCTATTTCTACCTTAATGTAATCCCCTATTTCAAGCGACACCCCCACCCACCCAGGCCTTTTACAGGATGATGCTTACTGTATAAAAAAAACTTATACTGAATTCTATGTTTTACATTTCTTAATAATATCCATTTTCTTTCTAATGTACACTTGATATCACAAACTGAATGCCATATAGTTGAAAGCAGGATACAAGTCACAGACAGAGGCACTAAGATCATGGCCACTCACATGGGCTTTGACATCAGAATTTTTTGTATCCTAAAGAAGATTGTGTGGAGAAGTGTTATGATGCTAGATACTATTTATGCTTCTCATTCTCAGGGCTATCACCTGGAAGAAATTCACACGACTTAAGAAAATCAACTTACATCACATCCATAATCAGTAGGGTCAGGTGGGCCACCATTAAAATATCTGCAAAGTAATAGAAAAGAAATGAGATCCCAGATGCAAAGCAAATTATAGCTCGTAACATTTATGGCTCAACAAATATGTCTGTGTGTCTACATCCATTCACGCACACATATAAGTATACATATTTGTACATACATACACATAAGAATACATACACAGGTACATGTACACTAATGACTGTACTTTGTTATTAATAAAATTAATGCTTAAATGGTGAAGTTATTTTTTTTTTTTACATACTCCCTACATGAACTGCATGCATGTTGCACACACACACACCCATATATGTAATTAAAATAAGTGTATGCTTATATAAAAAGTTATTCTATATAATTTATCTAATGTTTTATTGATGCTTAACTGTTAGTAGTTTATTTTTTGCCTTGGTGTTATATATCAAGGTATTAATTATGAGTGGTTAGGTTTGTTCATTTTTTTTTTTTTAGTGTTTGTTTATGTGCGGGTGTATACATATACACACATATGTATAGTTGTGTATGTTTAATAATTGTTCGTTTATTTATGCATTAATAAATTAAGCTTATATTTGTTTTTTTTTTATTTATTTGTTTAAAGCTTATATAATATTTTTTCCATTTATTTGTTTACAATCTAAATTAGATTAAATTTGTTTATTCTTATTTTGTGCTTAGATGGCAAAGTAAATAATTATTTATATGCCTGGATTTACCCATTATTTCAGTTTTCTTGTTTAGGAGTTTATTTTGTTTTTTAAAACTAATTATTGCTAATTCTTCCTCTAAGCATAGATTATTTTGTCGGATTTTTTGATCATAACAACATCCTTTAGCTTTTTTGCTGTAGAAAATTGGTAAAATAAGCAGATTTAATTTTGTTTATTACCAAGAATAGATATTTTTCTAAGTCCAATAATAGATCGTCGCATGGAAGTGTTTTTTGCAACTTAAATCCCCAAAGTTCGGCATCTTTCAAATCGTTATACTCATTCTTGTTTTTAGAGAAGAGTTTCCACCTTATTCTTTTTATGAAACTCTCGATATTGTCTAAAAGGGTCAGCTTATAAGGTCTTTCATCAGGAACCATGTTGTAATTTGTGGAGTAGTGCAAGTTAATTGATTCCAGTGGTGGTTAGGCTGCAAAGTATAAATACTTTATTACACCAATTACAAGGAAAAGGAGCAAAAGATAATAAGCTGACCCTTTTACCTTTTGGTTGAGCATCATCAAATCAAATAAGACGGGTAACCATTACAAAGCAGATGAGACGAGTAACCATTACAAAGTTGATACAAATATGTACCATAAAGCCAATAACAAGAAAGTTAATAACTTTTACAAAATGGCACCAAATAACTGGGAAAATAACATCAATAGAGAAGCCAAGAAAATAGCCACTGAACTAAAAATTGATGATAGGATCCACAAATTCCAAACAAGCATTCATCACAGTTAAAAGATCATAAGGCAAATTTTCTAAACAATCCTTAATAATAATAATAATAATAATAATTACTCAACCCAACTAAAAACAATACCAATAAAATCAGCAAAAACATCATTGAAAGAACATGCAAATACACAAAAAAGGCTCTAAGAATTAATAAATGGCACAAAACAGCTGAAGCTGTAGAATGGTTTTAAAAAAAAAAAAAAAAAAAATGAATATACATTCATCCAATTCAGTATTTGTGACTTTTACCTATCCATCACCAAAATTCTGCTAATGTCAGCCATAAATCTAGCAATAAATTAATGCCCTATTAGCGATCGTGAAATAAATATTATAAAGCAGGCACAAAAACATATATTATTCTATAATGGTTATCTGTGGACCAAAACAAGTAATCCAGAATTTAGTATTGCTATGGGAGCTTATGATTCAGTGGGAACATGCAAACTTGTTGAAATTCTATTATTGTGGCAACTCAGATTTATTTCCAACATCAAGGACACCGGACTCTATAAAGATGACAGTGTCATTCTTCTCTGTAAAACTAGCCCACAAAATACAGACCAAGTGAGAAAGGAACTGATAAAAATATTTTAAAGATCACAAACTAAATATTACCACCATCACCACCAATGCTAAAGCGATCAATTTTCTCAATGTAACCTTAGACCTGAATAATGGTTATTATAGTGATTTTCCAAGCATAGCTTAGATGTGGCACAAGGTCGAAAGTATGGGGCACCCAGTGAGGATCGAACTCACAACAGTTGTAATTGTTCTAGCGAGACAAGCTTGCTAACCATTACACTGCCTCAAGGTGCCCAAATAATGGTTATTATAAACCATACACAAAAGATCTATATAACTATAGATACATTAGTAAAGAATCAAATCAGCAGAATAAAGTTCGAGATAATTTACATAAATCAATCCAAGTCAGATTATCCACCAAATCCAGCAATAAGGAAATATTTGATATAGCAAAAATATATACAGGCTTTAGAACTAAGCCATCATAAAATAAATTTAGAGTATTTAGAAATAAACAAAGGTTAAAATAAGCAGAAACACTGTAAACGCAACATAGATATGGTTTAACCCACCTTTTAACCATAATATGCAAACTAACATTGGAAGAATTTCCTTAAATTTAATTCATAAGCACTTTAATCATTCACCAACATTAAAAAAGACTTTTAATAAAAATAATGTTAACATCAGCTATAATTGCATTAATAAGACACATCCCATCATAACATTATATTGCCAACAAAGACAATGTAAATTCTTCTAAAAATAAACGCAACTGCTGAAAAAATATGATCTATCACTTAAACAGTCAATGTATGACTGATAATATTGTATACGTTCTGGTAACAATATTAAATTTTAGTTTCACTGAAAATCCTTGGAGATTTCGTCTCTACCATCATCGAATGACTAGGTAATATGAAATATGGAAACAGCACTGCTCTTTCTAAATATTTCTGGCAATTAAAACACAATGATACTTCCCCTTCTATTAACTATTATATTATAGCAAGAGCCAAATCTTATAACAGAAAATAAAATAAATGTATCTTATGTCTTGTTGAAAAACTGGTTATCTTAAAACACTTAAACAACCCTACAACATGAGAAATGAATTGATGGTTACATGTAGGCATAAAAATAAATATCTGTTTAAATATGTTGATCCAGATTAATTTTTAATGTAAATTACTATTTATTTTGAATAGAAATTAATGTTTATTTTTTTTTTAAATAAGAACAAGTAATCTCCCTTTAATTAAAGAATATTATTAAAAATTAAAAAATGAATATACACAACTCAAAAAATTTTTTTTAATTTCATTTTTTTTTAAATTAAATGCATATATAAATCTTGCTTATTTTAATTGCCAAATATAATTTTTAAAAGTAAAATACTGTAACCCCAGCATAATATATAACTATGCCAACATTGTGATAACCAGATTAAAATTAAAGTCACATGTAATAAAGTAACAGATAATATTCAAATATTATGTTAATTCATTACATGTATCTAAGCAATAAAATAGCCAAACACAAGATGCCATTAATCTGCGTCTCTCTGCTCTTTATCATTTTTGATCACCTCTATCTCAATCTCTGACGAAGATTTAATAAAGTGAAATATGTTAAATAAAGATCTGTTTCCGGCTTGTTCGTTTTCCTATCATTTTGTCATATATATATATATATATATATATATATAGGTATGGCTGGCCACTCATAGTCGAGGGTACCCATCTACTAGGGCAGATGGCCAATCCCTTTTGCAGACGTTTGCTCAGGCACATTTTTTGTGTTTTTTCAACACCCACAGAGCCCACCTGTGGTTTATACTGCTGAGCAGAACTTAGTTTCTGGGAAAGAGCGTGTTATCTAGAGGGATCAACAATTTGAACAAGGCCAGCACAGCTATCGACGATACCCAAGGGTTCCATCTACCCAATTCCACTCGCAAGGCTTGGGTCAACCCGTGGTATGCTTTCCAGGCATTTTCCAAAGGTGCCACATGCTTGAATCAACCCCTCCAGTCTGCTAACATCAGAAAGTCTCCTTCCTGACAAATCAACCATGGTGAGATTCAAACCTGGGTTTCATGGTCAGAATGCAAATGTTCTAACCACTCAGCCACATGCCCATATATATATATATATATATATATATATATATATACACACACACAAATTTTTACAATAAAAATATAAACACTATTGTTTTTTTCTTTTGTTATTGTTTTGTAGAAGAAATTCTGCAACCTTGTGATAAACAAACACGTGTTCTATGAATGACCTGGCCCTTCACCTGCATATAAATTTTTTGCCAGTCAGGGGCAACCATAGGGATATTATTTAGAATATAAACAATATATGGTAAAGACGTTGTGCAAACTTGAAACAAGAGGAAAATGTACTTTTTCTTAAGTAGTTTAGTCTGCCTTGACAAAATCTGACCTGCATTTTTAGAAATTGTTTATGTTTAAGAAAACCCAAATTTTTAAGTAGCATCAAGTGACTTTAAAGTAGAGATTTGATGTGACAATGTACATATAATTTCAAAGTGGACTCTTGAGGGAATTCCTGGCTTTTCTACGGCCTATGACATTTGCCGAGTTACAATTACATATGCTTGAAAAATTTAATCTAATTCAGTTTGGTAGTTAAGGCATGCATAACATTTTAACAGATATCACAATTATACATAAAGTATGTAGTTAATCCTGGGACCAACACCAAATTTCCACTCACCCGACTTGAATAAAAATTCCATTACTGTACAAGATAGCATTTAACAACAAACGACACACAACACTTTTTCACAAAGTCAGGAGGAGACCTGTTCAAAATTAAATAAAAATCATAATTGTGATTGCTCCTCTCTTCGTTACACCCTGCCAATGACCCATAAATAATGGGCTATTTCATTTTGATTGCATGGAAAGACATATCAGAGCTGCTACTTGGTTTCAGTGAAGAAAAGAAAGATAGAAATACTTAACATCTCCTGCTAACACCTCATAAATAACGGACTATTCAGT